CGTCAGTCACTGTCAACAATAGTCCCGTCATGGCAGGACTACACTCATTCACTCATTCAGGCGATCCGTACGTATTCTATCTCACTTGTAATAATTTTTGCGTCAAATAGGAAGTATTTGGTTGTTAGGATAATAACTTGTCTCTGTTTCTCACAAAATTCTACTAAAAGTGGCTCAGTAGAAAATAGGACGTTAATACAACTGAGAAATAAAGCCGGAATGTGGCCATTTATTCAAAGAAATCCTACTCGTTTTAAGAATTTTATGACATTGTCACTGCTTTGTTTTCCAACCAGCACTGAGCATTTTAAATTACCTAAACGGAAAACAACGACAACAACAAAAACTAGATTTTGGTTGAATTTCTTATATTTTGTTATCTTTAATAGACCTTGTGACGGTTTTCGACGCCATCTAATTGAAGAGTAGGCAAACGTGTGAGAAATTACAGTGTTTGTATGAGAATCTAATGTCGAATGATTTCCGTAAAATGGCTCTTCTGAAAAAATATGAATTGTAGACGAAAGCTACAAAGCAAAGGATTGTTATAAAAACCTTTTGGCTGCGTACCTCTGCTTAAATTTCTCCAGAGGCTTGCTTTACATTTTCCTTATATTTATCTGTAATCTTTCCCGGGACTTACAAACAAATGTATAGAAAGTGGTTCAAGGTCTTCTAACGCATGTAACGCCCTCATTTTTTTTTTCAGTAGAATCCTTAGGAGTGAAGCATTAGTTTACAATTAATATTTTTGTCAGAAAAGCCGTTCTATGGAATTTATTCGACGTTAGATTGTCATATAAACACTGTAATTTCTCACTCGTTTGCCTACTCATCAATGTGGCGTCGAAAACCGTGACAAGGTCTATAATACATGCCTACAAATTTCAATGACTTCCTCATCACCGTAGGAGAGATGGATCTGACCACATCATTATAATCGTTTTTTAGTGTCACTACACGGTTTACAAGGCTGAGTAACTAAGTTATAAATCGACATTTAATCAAATTATTTACTATTTCTACCAACAATTCCTTATACTTTTGATAAATAAGTATGCATGGACATAAATATCAAGGCATCTTACCAGGAGGTGTCTCACCATTCACAGAGAAACCAAGAAGCATCACGAAAAATAACAGACAAACTAGTTTCATGGTACTTGAGTTTTTACTTGGGCTATCAGCGGATAAGTGGTTTAGTACACTCTGATAATTATAAGCTTTCTGCTTTACCCCTGCAACACGACAAAGTTAATATAATCTCTTAGATTGATTTAGCACACAGCTGTGAAAGTCGGTGAACATAATTGTTTCACAGCTTTCTGTGTCATTAAGGTATGCCGTCTTTGGAGTTGAAAAAGATCAATTTCCGTTCGACAATAAATCTCATGAAATTTTATGGTACAATGCACAATGTCGGCAAACTGAACAAGAGATTCTAATTCTAATTCTAAACCTAATTCTAATGTATAATCTGCAAAGGGTATATCCCATCACGGCAGATGTGCAGATGTGCATGTGCTTATATTAAAAATACAATTATAGAGCCAGTATTAAGTTTAAAAAAAAGAAAGAAATAGCGTCAGCGTTTTTTAAAAAAGATGGCACATGACGGCCTTTTTGAAAGCCTCTGCTGACTGCTTTTCAATGACACTATTTGAAGTTCCAGTCTTTGATTGTACGTGCAATAAAACTGTGTTGGTATGTGTTTGTTTTAGCACTAACTTGTCTATGAATGAATTTCGATCTTAGGGTGGAATTGCCTAGTGCCCTGTCGCTTTTTCTACATAGGGTGGAAATTGTATAACTGATAGACCCGAAACTACTTTAAAGATCATTGTGAGCCGTGCCATTTTCCTTCTTTTCTCGAGTGTTGGCCATTTTAAATCACTCAGCAATTTCGTTGCAGTTCCAGGAGCGGTGCTATATTCATTTTTAACAAAAAGTGCCGCTCGTCTCTGCACACTCTCAATTTCCTTTATCTGTTTTTGAATATGCGGGTCCTATGTACAACATCTATACTCAAGCTGTGGTCTTACTAAAGCAAGATAGGCTTGATATTCAATTTCTCAAAACATTTTTAAGAAAAAGCTTTAAATATTGCCAGTTGTGTGTTCTGATTTCCTAGTTTAAGCATAAACGATTCTTATTCTGATTTAAATTAGACGTTTTATTGTTTCATTGGCTCCTGTTAACTTGAAAAGCATCGACAATGTGACTGCGCTGAAAAACTTCGAAGCCACCTTTGTCTTCACAAGTTTTAACACTGCTATCAGTCTCAACCATTTATGATAAAAAATCTAGAAACAAATTGTGTGGAACATAATTTAAATGTTGAGTTCAGAATTCAGCCTTTGGTGTTGTAGTGAACATTTGTTTGACGTAAAATGCAGATGGCTTATACTGTTTTATTACACCCAAAAATATCTGCAACCATCATTTCTTTGAATATAATCTCTTTTTATTATTTTTTCTTTCAACGGCGGCAATTGTCCGTTTCCCACACCGGTCCTGTGAGAGTTAAATCGTTTTTCTTATGCAAAAACTTTCTTTTGTTTCAATAAATTTGCATAGCTAGCTGGCCGCTTGAGTGAAAATATTCTGTTATTGATAGCCCCACGATTCGTTCTACTTTATTTACTAGATGCTGCCATATTTTTCAGACAAATTCTTAAAAAAGCTGTTGTTTTGTTCAACAAATCGGTGCTTTTTCTATCAGTCAATTTAAGGCTTAATAAAAAATTTTACTTGAGGAAACCAAAAATTCTGTTAATTAAAGAAAGTAGCGCTCCGGAAAATTAACAAATAATAACGTAGGACTGGCTGGAAAATTTGTTGTAGATTTTACAGGTGTTAATTTAACAATTCACCATGCATTCTGCTGTCAACTAGAAGTTGAATTTTAGCGATTTAGTGCAAAAACAGGAGTAAAGAAGTCTTTCAAAGAATCCACTCAGCTTTTGAACACGCGCCTAACAACTTTCGTCACAGGTCATTCTTCTGACTGAGTGGTACGGAAGTGAGTAAAATTTCGGAGGCGTTCCAAGAAAGATTGTTCGTTGTAATCAGGGGCACCCAACGACTGTTTTCTGTAAAATATCTGTTCAGAGAAGCAAATATTGCCTAAAACCTTTGCATTACATGAGGATGGCTAAAAATTTTTAGATGAACGTTATATTCATGTACAGTTCGAAGTTCAATGTAATATATTCTCTACGATTTTCTGAAGTTTAATTTTTCACATTGCACTCTCCAAGTTAAGTTCACGCTTTTTTGTACATTTCTTTGCCCTCACTACACGACTTATAACCACGTGAAAATGCTTAATTTCACGTTTACAACACCTGTTGTAAGCTCAAGCTGGTGAAAGACGGAAACAAGCAATGACAAAATTTTTTTTCTCTTTATGAATTTGGATGTGGTTGGTAGAAGTTCAGCTCCAGAAGAGTTCACTTGCATTTGACAAAGTAAGCGAGTTGGAATAATCACGATAGAGAATGAAAAAATGTGAATTCACTTTTCATGCGACGTTTTCGTTGCTGTGAGCGTGAATACCCGTTGTAAGTTCAAGCTTGTATTTTTGGAAAAGTAGCCTGCGCAGCAAGGTGGTTTTGGTTGAGCGCGCAAAGTAAATACAGGCGGGCGAGGGCGGAGAAACCGCGAGGAGATTGCTCCCGACAAAACCGCCACGCTACGCAGGCTATTGGAAAAGCGTCTATAGTTTTCGGGTAAACAGTATTTGAAATGGGTAGTTTATATCAAAGTGAAAGTTTCGTGACTGCGTGCATTTCTTTGGTGCGGAGCCAGACAAACCGTGATGGATCCAATAGCCGTCGTGTACGAAATCAATCAAAATCATGTGGGTCTCCGAGGATGAGTTCCCCTAGGATAACCGAGCAGACACTATTTTTTTAGCGCCGCTTAGAATGCTTTTCTAGAGGTCTAAAAGTACTCAGGATAGCCTGAAAAGTGCTTGCAATGTATATAGGACGAAACCGTCTTTGGGTGTTTCTGTGTAATTGCACCAGGAATCAGGCAACGAGCCATGCAACACGGCAAAGGCCCAACAAATAAAGTTGTGACAAATGTTGCTAGACAAACTGCCAGGAATTGTGTGACACACAGCCTTTAATATATCTTGCTGTGAAATCGCCAAACGATTACGAAAGAAACTTTACATCATCGAAAGTTATGTTTACACTGACCGGATACCTTTTCGTGCCGACACGAAAAGGTATCCAGTATAGTGTAGCCTACGAGTACCCGCACCCTCCTCTCTCTCTCTCTCCTTTTTTGCTTTGGGAGGGTGCGGAGGGTGCGGAGGGTGCGGCTACACGTAGGCTATGTATAGTGTGAACAGAAACGGCATAGAACTGGAACAAGTCTTTCAAAAAACATTAAACATTGTGCCAGAGCGGTTGGCTGAGAAGGTTTGGTGAACTAAATACCAGTCCTCACTCCTGAAAATTTACTGCCTTCTCAGTGGATTCCAGTCCTCGATCTTATTTATTCACTTCCGCTACGCTCCGAATACCTTTTCACACTGCACCAAAGTGTGGCACTATATGACGTCCCACTTTCGAGATCAGCGCCTTTCCGCATCGCTCAGCCGTTACAGAAATCGCGCCGAAATCACCGTTCCTATGTGTGAACAGAAGCCCTATCCGGAAGAGTTTTCGTGCAGACGAAAGAGCTTTCTTTTATAGTATGAACGCAGCCTAATTATATGAAACTTCCGCTTAACAGTGCTTCTTGCGCATGACCGGCTTTCCAAGAAGGACACTCACACTTAATTCCAAGAATCACGTGGTTAGATAATTCAGAGGGGGTTCCCCATTGAAAGGGAATTTTCCCTGGCTTTGATTGTTGTGATTGGTTAATATTGAAAGTTTCGATGCAAATATCATCTCGCACCACTGAAACTTTCATATTCTTTGTCGTTCCAAAGTTACACAGAGCAAGTTTTACTATTATTTCCTCTTGACACTACAAAAGATATGGAAGAAAGCATTTTCTTTGATGAAGTTTTCTCGGGGGAGGTGGACATCATCGATTCACCATGGTCAGTGGATAATTCACTGTTTGAGGATGTGTTAACGTGTGATTTGAACAACGGCATTACTGACCTGTTTAATGGCGAAGAAAAGGATGAGGATTTTGAAGATGACGTTGCACCGGTGGTAGAAGCTCAAAATAGTATAACACAGATAAGTGATGAAGAAATTAAGAATCTTGGAGTTCGGGAACTAAACAAACTGCTTCGGGACATGGAACCAGAGGAAGCTGCAATTATACGGCGAAGACGCCGTAACCTTAAAAACCGAGATTATGCTTTGATCTGCCGCCAGCGGCGACTACAGTTACACGAGGATCTCATCAACGAGAACAAGCTCTTGAAAAGACAGCTGGAGGATGATAGAGAGAAGCTTCGAAAAGTTGTACTAGAGAGAAATACATACAAACGCAAATTACTTCAATTGCAGTCTGTTTGCAGAAAGCAATTTGTGCTTGGTCTGGTATCTACCATGTAATGTGTTTCTGTCCTCCGAAAACGGTTCGCGAAAGATTAAAAAATGTTGATATCCTACCCTGTTGAAAACACGGTAAGAAAATAGACACTCTTGAGAGACAACACTTTGAAGATTACAGTCAAGCGGACGGTCATAAATTTAACACGTGACCAAAAGAGAACTTACCTAAGTTTACAGTTATACAACACTAGTAAGACTCAGTGAAAGGGAGAAATGCAATACATAGCTGAACTGAGTTACGTGCATATTTAATGTTTTTTTTTTGTTTTGCAAGGTAGAGGTCTATTCCTCGTGCTCACTTGTAAGACATTTTCATATACTTCCGTAATTTAGAGAGATTAAAAATAGAACCAACTGGAGCACCTTTTTTTTTTCCTCCGAGCATTCCCTATACGATCATTTATAAAAGTCATTCACCAGATATAAAAACTACGCAAGTGAAAACACGAAATTCCATCTCGAGTACGGTTCAATTACCGCTAAGACAGTTTCCGTCATTAAATATACCGACCACGCTCTATAAATTCTCTTACTGGGTTAAACGTGTTTTAAAAAAAGCATTAATGTTACAATGTATTTGTACTTGTTCTATATTCCACTAGGTTTAACTTCTCAAAAGGCTAGACGTATAAGAATGTATTAAATGAGGAGGATACCAGTAACTTGCAGCGCCTCTACCCCGCTCTCTATTAAACGACGACACAACTTTTGTTTCATTTACAATTTAAGTGAAAAAAACTTACAATTAGGACTTACGTACGATTTTATAATGGATTTTGTGTTCGTAACAATTAATCATTAATTAATGAATTAGCGTATTAACGAAAAAAGAGAAGAAGTATGTTTCTAGAGCGACGTCATAGCACATTTCAGTAAAAAAAATCAAACATTTTAGCTTTAAATCGTACACGCTTTTGAAAAACGAGTTTAATGAACTCCATTTTGTTATTATTGACTTTTGATATAAGTTTTTACTAAATTTACATCAGAAACCAGAACCTTTTTCCCCAGGCTAAAAAGAAAAGACTGATATTAAGTGTCACAGTTTACTGAACGTCAGCCAGTGTGAAATAAGATCTAGCATTGTTGCTTCATCTTCATTGGACGGTTTAGAAATGGGGGTTCCCCTTCTAACTGATTATTCAAAACAAAACTTTGAATTCACTCCAAGGAGGTCTAGTCATGGAGTCTGGAAATAATACATTTGCTTTAAATGAATCGTTGCCTACTTCTAGCATAGAAGCTAATGGTTTGTACCATCCCAACACTTTCTTCGCCAAACCAATTAGAGAGAAAAACGACAGGGGTTCAGGGACTTCAAGTGCATTTGATCAGCGTCAACAAAAGACGCCATCAAGGTTCACTCCCGGAAGTAAGACAAAGCGAAAGTCAGGTTCCAAACGAAATCAGAAGAAGACTAACAAAGTATTTGATCCAGTACCTACGCTAAGCGACGGGAAGCTAGAAAAAATGACCATTAAAGAGCTCAACATTTATATTCAAGGGATTCCAAAGCAACAAGCGCAAAAGATTAAGAAAAGGAGACGAATTCTTAAGAATCGCAAGTACGCGTTGAAGTGTCGACGGAAAACTGTTCAGAAGAGAACTAAAATGGCAGAAGAAAATAAGTCCCTGGAGAAAAGGATTTCTGCTGCCAAGGAAGAGTTGAAAGCAGTTACAAAACAAAGAGACTACTACAAATCAAAATATCTACAGCTTCACGCGTCTCTTGAATCAGAATTCTCTTAAATAATGCAAAGCAGCAGGCAAGACCAGCTGACTGGTCAGTTTCTATGCGCTCGTTTCTGTGTCGTACTGTTTTTAGTAACTATCTGTTTTATTTCATTTGTACCCAAAATCTAAGAAGTAAGAGTTTGTTACTTGCCAAATGTCTCTGGAAGTCCTGTGATTGTGACGGAGTCCAGTATTGAGTTTGTTGTTGTTTATACGCTGTGAGAATTAATTCTGCGTCTTGTTTTTAGCAACACTGAATGTGGTGCGAAGCAGAATTGAAACCATGGCCTCAATGGACATCAGAATACTCAGAGTCTGTCTCAACATCTTCAGCTTTTTAAACTCAACCAGGATCCTTCGTGCCGGAGGAACAATTTATTCCCAGTTAAAGCAAACTGAATTTTAAAATCTAAGACTAGGCGCAAAACACATCAAAAGAGAATTTACAGAAACCAGAGATTTCTTCTACATAAAAAATACGTGGCACTTTATTGTTGAATCGTATAGAGTCTTTATGTAAATCAATTTGTGAATTAAAACTATTCCCCCTCGTGGCCATTTTTTGGACTTCCGTTCTCGCTGTTATATATACTTCCTCGTACCGCTCAGCTGAGCCGGAGTTACTTTTGTGGAGAGTTTTCATTTGGTACTGATGTAGTTTACTAAGTGTAGTTAACAGGTCAAGAGTTGGCTGAAAAAGGAGATTATGTGCCTGCGAATAAAAATGTTTATGTCACCTAGTCACCCATTCATTGAATGTTAGTTTACTAAGATGGGCATTCTTTCCTAGTCACGCATTCAGCTTCAACATAGTTAATCGTTAGGGAAGGGGTGTAAGCAGGGTCCAAATTTGATACAAAATAGTCAAATAGTTATCAATCACAAGATTATCACGAGATCAATCGGAAATTTACAAGCCTGGAAATCACTAGCTGGGAAATTACTTGCCGGAATATTACTCGTTGTAACTAGTCACGATCTCGTCCGGAAAAGTACTTAGCCTCGACTTCATTTAAGGTTAGGGTAGAAGACAAGCTGTGTCAGTTCCTCGAAGTCTTCCTCTTGGTCTCCAGTCTTAACAAGCTTGCGAGTTTGACCCTCCTCCTCCTCCCTTCCTCCGCCTCTTTCTTACTCTGGGTGCCTTTTTCTCGTACCCTCACCGTGAGAGCGTAAAAAAATCAAAAAATCATTTCTAATTACATTTTGTTTCAAGATGTTATATTCTCATCAGTAAATCGTCCATCTTGCCTGTCCAAAATTTTACCCAAATGCATTGTGGTTCTTTATCCTCAGAAATATTTTGCGATTTGCCAACGTACAATAAACAGAGATTGAATAAAATGAGCCTAAGTCTCTACACGTGTTGCCTGGAAACCCAAAATGCACGATGACGTCATCTTGAATGGCGTCTTTAGGATTTGTTTATGGCTTGTTGCTAGGCAACTGCGGATACCAAACCGATAAAAAGATTTATGACCAAAGCGAAATCGCGGTTCGCTTGCGATCCTCGCGTGATACGCGCGTTGCGCGCGCGACAAATTTATAAACTCGCTTCTTTCGCTCCGCGAGAATTATTATTTTTTTGGTTTCGTTTTCTTCAGGGCTCGCTATCTGCTTAATTTTAATATATCGAAAGTGGGCTGTCGGTTATAAATTGTCATGTTTGTTTAGAAAAGTCCCTTGAAGATGTATGTCAATTAAAAAATATTTGCCATATTTTAACGTAGCTGTCCCGGTTGGCCTTACGCGAATATATATATATTTTTAAGGATTAACAGCAGATATGAAGTTAGAAATTCTCTTAATAATACAGGTTTGTGTTATCGTTTTCACATTTCCAACTGCCATTTAGTCAGGCAAAAGCGTTTTCTACAGGGTGGTTACGCTCTTTTATAACTTTTCTTTACAGAGTCTCCTAGCTGGTACAAAGGCAACTGTTTACCGTAAGTGTTAATTAAAATGTTTTTGGTGTGGTAGACCATTTGATTGGAATCCAAGCCAAAACTTAAAAAGTCTTCGTAGTATCCCTATTATAACCCTGCTCTATTTCAGGAATTGATTATTAGTATCATTGTTTCATGATCATTTTTTGAATGAAATAATCCTGCAGTTTCATTTTCTTAACTTAAACCACAGTCAAGATGATCTCCTTAAATAATTTACAGGAGTTTGGTCCTTAAACAAATTATAAAGCCCCTTAATGCTTCCGTTAAATTCGTTTTGTTTCATCACGAACGGTACAGACAACTTTTATTCCTGATTGAGGAGATCTTTTTTGTGTTGAAAGCCAGTTCAAATATACAAGTTTCTTATACCCTTTTACACGATTATACTTTACGATGGGTACTTTACGACATTACATATGACTAGCTGCTCGCAGTTGGCTTAGTATTTCATCTGGCTACAGCAATGTACCTACATAGGGAGGGTACAAATCCCGTTAAAGGGTGAGTTTTAAATACTTTCAGGCTTAAACAAACACACAACTGTTTAAGATGCGTGTGCATAACTGCAAGCCAAGGCCTTTTATGTTGAAATTTATGAATTTGACACATCCTTTCACTGAATGCATGATCTGTCAAAACAACGCATGACGTCAATGATTGCCTGGAGCTATGTAAGTGGAAGTCAACATTTGTTAACAGCTAGTGTTTGTATCATGACAGGGTCAGGAGACAATGTCCTTCTTCTAACGGCTAATTTGACCCTTTGTTAAAGAAAACGAAAAAAGAAAATTACATGTTTAGTGAAAATATCAAAATCGGTGAAACAATTGATTCTTTGAATATTCATTTTCAAAGAAATTCAGTTCTTCCCTTACATTTACAACAGGTAAACCTGTCACAATTTTGACAAATTTTTCTCTTACAACAGCCGACTTATTTACACAATATAGAAGAGCAATTGCATGGCCTGCAACATAGCAGATGATTCTTTGGTTCCTTTTACGTCTGCGATCCGTGACGACAAAACTTTTTAGCCAATCCCAGCAATTCGTCTCCTGGTGGCAGTTATCACTATTAGAATTTTGATGAATTTCGTGACAAGGCTCGTTCAATTCAGACGAATTCATTTCAAAGATTTCCCATTCAATTAAGATTCGATGGTTCTGGGACGTATAACATACGTTCTCCGCGTTCTCCTGACGGATAAAACGCAGGAAAAGATCGACTCCTGTAAAACGTCTGTAGAGCCCCTCATTTTCGACGTCGCTCAAGCGACCGGCATCGAATTCAATGCACACATAATGTTATGTCTAATATTAAAGTTATTACTAGTAATAGTTGACACTACAGCTGCCCCCGCTCTGTATATTGTCGGTCACTATAGCATTCTTGCTCGTTGTGTAGCTCTTTGAAATATACCAATTCATAAAGAAGATTTTCACACATATTCCATGCAATAGGTGAGATAAATACAGGAAACGCAAGGTTCCATGCACAGTTTCAGGCCCAGGGTTTCGGGTCGATTTACACAGCTTTGATCAAAACATTCTCAGTTTCGAGAATAGTTTATTCCAAGCCATAAGAAAAGATTTAATTAAAAGTTGAATTTTTCGCTATTTCTCTATCACTTTTTACATTCAGTTCATTTTATTCGCCGAAAAGGGAACCTTAGAAATTAAAAGGACGTTTGATCAATTCACACTCGCGCATTCTAGTCTTATTTTAAACTTTATAGCGGAAGGACATCAGTGCCCCAGGGAATAAGTCAGCACAGAATTTGATTGTCGGCGAATTTCTGTAATCGTCCATTCTTCTGCTAGTGAGAAGCTAGCCGTTGTTCACTCGTCTTGCTTGTTTGGGGCTGAGTCTTATTCCGGTCAAAGAGAGAGAAAGGTTTCCAATGAAAGATTTGTGAACTCGTGTCTGGCAAACTCTCCAAGTGTTTATATATACATGTCCAGTTATACGCACCTTATAACTTCTTCTGCTCTTAACGAGTGTCGTTAAAATTTTGGTCCATAACTTTCACTGAAACAACTGCTCCACAGAATGTCACTGATAACACGAAACGCAAAAGAGTGTCGAAGTATGAATGCACAATAAATGTCACAAAATCTACCTGAGCGGTCCCTTAGGGATGTACTGTCTTAACGTCATCCTAACCATTTCGCACTTGCGGGGCAAACATTAGAAACGTCATCATTACCTACCGATTCCTCGCGGCCCCTGTTCAAGCAAATCGAGATTTTTTCTATATTGACTGTATGACTGTATATTTCAACTGTAACTACTTTCCTTAATATACGCGCAAGTTACTAGAGTGCCTCCTCGGGATTTCGCCTTCTGGGCGAAATCCCTGCGGGGGCAATAAAGTACGGAAATTGAGCCATCAGTCTGTTTTGAAGCCGGTTTCCTTCACTGCGCATGGGCACATGTCCGCGTTACCATCATTCTCAGAGCCCATCGCTTCTTTTGGTCGATTAAAACCGAGAGTCTCTGGGGACGAGAATGTTGATTTAGCACCAATTTTGTTATTTTCCCGCGTGTAGTCGAAACATCATGGCTCTCTGGCGGAAAACATTTGTCACCGAGCCGATACCGGGGGCTGTAATAAGATGTTTTATCTCGAGACAGCTCGTATCCGCCTGAAAATAATGTCAAATGTCTTTTTTTTAACACCCCCCCCCCCCCTCCTTCCCATAACGGCCTTCTTGAGCCTTGCTTCTCTGCATGTTGCTCAGACCACTACCCACCGTCCTGAATCCAAACATTTTTCATTACTGTTATTTCCTTTTTAGCCGGTAATCTCATAGTAGGAAGCGGTGAAGTCCTGGAGATCAACACGACTGCACCATCCATCGTTAATAACAACTGCCCCAGTTGCAATTACAACGCATCACATGAAAAAAGATCTTCCTCAAGCTCGAATGGTGAACATCTGGCAGCCGTGATTAGGTTCAGTGGTAACATTGAGTTCAGAAACGGTTCAACAGTCCAAGTATCTGGAAAGTATGGTCTGAGTATAACAAGTCAGAATGGACACATCTTAATAGAAACTGATATTGACATGACGTGTAGAGATATGGTGCTGGATGAAACATGTCTCGGTGGGTTCACACAGTCATCAGTAAGGCCGTTGGAAGATGTCAATAACCCTCCTAGACTCTTATATAAAGGTAAGAAAATCTGCTTTTATTGCCTTTCTCACATTTGCGTTTGGTTTTTCCCCTTGCTTTCACACTTACTTCCTGGAAGGTGGGCACATTAGGTAAAATAAGACAGTGTGATAACGAACAGTAAATCGCTGAGTATCTTTAACGTTTCCTTCGGAAGTAAATTCATACTCAACCACGAGGTAAAATTGGTTTCCTTGGAAAGTCAGTGCAATATAATTTGATAGTTCAGAGGGATTTAACGTTTTGAAATGACAAAAACATTGGCTTGAACTCCTGCCACATCTGAGGTCTAAGGTCATACCAGACGTGACCGATTTATTGCTACGATTTGTTTAACTTAACAGGGACAGGAGGAATATAACTCCATGGTAGAGCAGCTGCTACTGAGCAGGATGTTTGTATCTAGTCATGAATCACTGCTTTGCTCAGGGAACAGGTCCTTTATGGCCGCTGGTCTTCACTCAAGATTCCGTGGCCATTTGAGCCATAGGAAGCTCCCAGCTTCTTTGTCACTTTAACACCTTTTTGTAACGTTTTATTATCTTTTGTGAGTGGCTAAAAAACAAATAGAGGAAATTCTAAATATACTGATCTTCGAACCTTATACAGCCTAATTAAAGCTCATTTTTTGCAAAGGCCATGTTCTTACAACAGGTAGAAAATATTGCTTTATGATCACAAACGTAGCGAGGATATTTCAATTACTGAATTTTTTTTAATATCTTGTCACATTCTCTTAATTTTAAGAAATAGAGATAAGTTGCGTCCTTAGTATTACTCTCCCGAATAGAACGCTAGTCCATCACAGGGAAGCGGCAGTATTATTTCGTGTGATACTTCTTTTTACCACTAGGTGGAGACAGACGAAGTGAAGTACTGGTCAATAAAACCATGCGCTGCTTTAATTCCTTCCTCCATTACTAAAGACCGATAAAATACCACTTTTCTTGTACTCTAATGACTGAATAAGACTTCTTGATGATGGTTACGTTTTGTAAACGGGATTTTTAATGATTTTTATTTTCTTTACAGGTCTTGGTCCTGGTGGCCTCAGAAAAGCCGTAAGGTTTTATTTGGACCTTGTTTGCATACCTGGTTCTAGTCATGGCGGAATAGGACTGCCTCGTCCGGGTTATGCCCTTTATTCAGATCAAACATATGATCAACAGGACACAGTGTCACTATTAGGAGGAAGCGGAGGTGAGATAAACTATTTTAAAATCACTTTGTGGCTCTGATGTAAGTACTAATGAGGGCTGGAATGGAAACTGGTCAATAAGAAAAAAGATAACAAGAAAAACTTTGGGCACACTACAATTACTGTACCTTACGGCATACTCCCTCCGACAAATCAGGCCTATATTAGAAGAATTGACTGTATTTTAACTACTTTTTACTAAAATTCTGGAAACTGCTGATTGTAAGTAAAGTAGTCATGACTGTGAAAGTTTTCAACCCAGGAGTCATTTCATTCGAATATGACCGTCCAGGTGAACGTAGTCCTGAATGACTGACAACCTTTGCTGTAGTCATCTTCAGAGTCAAAGTGAGTTGTATCACGTCAGTTGATAGTATAAAACTCTGGTTTTGACCTGATTCGTGAATTAAGTCGCGATGTTATTGGCCATGAAGACTCGTAATGTCATTGGTGCGTTTCGATCCGTCTATTGTCACAGTTAAACTGTCGATTATTGTTAGTCAAATTGTCAGTTGTCTAGTCATTCTCTCGTAATTAGTTTTGCTTGAGTGCTTCGATAAGTCGTTTGTGCGGTGCCGGTATCTGACTTCTCTTACAAGCAGCTGCTACATGACTCAGTACATCCCATGATCAATGTTCTCGTACACATTCGCATTCTCACAATGTTCGCAAGGATTTTCAGAGTGACACGTGGTGGTCTACTCTACGCTATTACTTTCTGTTTCCTCACTGTCGTTTTCAGTGACGTTGTCGATCACGTGGATGTCTTCAGCTTCTCTGCCATTCGCAAAAGCTATCTCTTCCCTCTCTTCCTTTCTATCTGTTGAACTTTCCACATTACCCTCGTTCTCGGAAGTATTTTCTCCATTTTGGTAGCCTTATTAGAGACCTTTAGATTCTAGGACGAGAACGACTACGAGTACGAGATTTCACTTAAAGTGTTTTCGCGTATTCTCAAATAATAAGGAGCTTTAGCATAGACGACGGCAACGGCAGCGAAAACGTCACTTTCAAAATGAATTCGGGTTTTTTCAATCTTTGTCGGGTTTATTCTAGTTTGCTAAAAATGGAAAATGTACGCGAATTTCACTGGAGTTGATTTCTTAAGGACTGCACTCAAGTTTAGAGAGAGAAAAAGAGATTCGTCGTCGCTTGTTTACGTCCTCCATAAAACTTGCAATTAGGCATTTTCAAGTCTTAGTCGTGCAAGGAAGGTAAAGAAATGTACAAAAAAGCGTGATGCACGCGCAAAGTTGTTGTTTTGCGTAATAAGCCTTTGTTTTTTTGACGTCCTCGTTGCCGTCGCCGTCGTCGTTGCTAAAACTCCCTACTGACTAATAGACACCCCGAATAGCCTATTGTACATCTTTTCACCCAAAAAAATTAGCACTGTTTTCTTTATTGAAAGAGATTAAGATATCTCCCGGCCGCAAAATAACCAGCCTATAACACTTTATAACTTGTGTCCGCTAACACGACATTCTCGCTAAAACTCGTAGTAGAATGACAAAGACTATCATTTTTTTCCCGCCAAAATGACGCTGGTTCACGCGGGCGCACTAACTCAGTAGTATTGAGGAAATCTCGTACTCGTAGTCGTACTGGTCTTAGAATCTAAAGCTCTCTATTCTTTTTCTATCAAATCAATTCTTTGTCATTGATTAAGCCCTTATCGACTACAAACTCCGCAAGTCCATCTATGAACACATTCAACGCAGGAGGTTTGATCACATAATCGTTATGAGGAACTAGCGTTGAACACACTGAACGAGCTCGATAATGTTTGTCACGGGAATTAAGGGTTTATTTCGAAGTAACTGTCCGCGGGGAGGCCAGAATAGAATACCTATAGAAGCTGCCATGATATATAGAAAATCAAAAGTATGCTCTTTACACACCACTTAAAAAAAATTTTACCATTTAATGGCAAAGGTTTCAGGTAGGCGATAAAAAGAAAGACATTACCATAAGGACGGTCTGTGAAAGAGTCAAAGACCCCATAGAAGACAGACCACCTAAAAAATAGTCATATCATAAAAACTAGTTTAAAAGACAGACAATTAAAAATGTAAAAATGCATACGGAGATATGTACAAAAAAAAACAATCAATAAAATAATAATAATAATGATAATTAAAAAAACTTAACACATTTTCATCTAAAAGCTCCCTCACTCCTTTTTTAAAACTAGCAATAGTTGTTGTTTGACGAATAGGCAATGGTGGATTGTTCCATATGTCCACGATCCTACTGGAAAAAAACTAAATGTATTAGTTCTAGCATGATTCTTTTTAAGAGTATATTCAACTTTTCCCCTTTAAGGACACCGATCAGAATCTGAGAAAAACTGTACATATGTAAATAGATCAATGTTTATATAACCATTCAGGGCTGGAATAAAAAGTCAAATAAAAATCGCTATATTTGTTCTAAGGACAACAAATTGACCTTTTTGCTCCGTTGTTCGTATCATCATTGGTCTTCGAAATAAACTTAGTTGCCCTTCGCTGAATTCCCTCCAAATTAGAAATCTTTCTAGATGTGTGTGGTGACCACAGAACACTAAAATACTCTAGCTGTGATCTGACCTGGGCAAGATACAGAGTTCTCAATATGGAAACATCTTGAAATCCTTTACAGGTCCTTTTAATCAGACCTAGAATCTTGTTGGCCTTATTCGATATTTTATCAATATGAGTGCTCCAAAACAGATTGCAATCGGTAACCACGCCCAGATCACGGAACTCAGATGTTACCTCCAGGATCTTATTATTTAAGTGTAAGTCAGACTGAATAGGTGTTTTCCTTTTAGTGATATGCATTAGTTTAAATTTCTCCACGTTAAACTTCATGAGGTTTTGTTGACTCCATGCACATAAATTGTCGAGATTTGACTGAAATGCGGAATGATCAGCTAGACAGTTTATAATCCTAGATGTTTTACAGTCGTCAGCATATAATGACACACAGTTTCCAGGCATTACTACTTCAAGCAAATCACTAATGAAAAGTACAAAGAAGAAAGGGCCCAATAAGGAGCCCTGAGGTACACCCGATGGGAGAGCTCACCATGTAGAAATCATTCCTTCTATGACAACTCTCTGTTCTCTGTCGGTGAGATAATCCTTACACCAATTCAAAAGCGCACTTGAGATAACAAAATTGCCCAATTTTTTGCAGCAGGATATTATGTGCCACTCCGCTAAATGCCTTTGCAAAGCGCAGGAAAACAACGCCCATCTGTTTGCCCTCATTCAAGGTGGTCATTGATGGTCAGGGATCCTAACTGAGTAGCACATGAACGTCCCCTCACAAACCCGTGCTGCCAATCTGTCAGATAAGGAGCCACATGCGGGTATACAGCATTATACACAATCCTCTCTTGACAATTATTACTCGGAATGGATAGTAATGAAATAGACCGATAATTTTCGACTACATCTTTAGCATCAGCTTAAAAACAGGAGTAACATTAGCTCGCTTGGGACAGACTACTCAAAAGATCTTTCATCGTTGGCTCTTTATTACCGCTTTCATCATCAAAACTTCCGCTCTTTCATTTTTAACTGTTGTGCTCTTTGTCAACCAAATCTATCTTTTTCTTCATCTCGAGAAGTGCCGGTGGAAGGGAGGCTTCGAATACGTAACTAATAGCTTCGTTTCCTCTTTTATAGCATCAAAAAACCTAAGCTTGTAACAACAGGGACCACCGACTTGTACTAGAATTCGCTCCTTTGTAAAGTGGAAAACAATTTTTTTCCTAGGTCTACTTAGGAGCCCCTTGTCTACTAGAGCATCTTTATATGACATATGACAACAATTTCCTTTTCTTCGGGGATTGGAATGTATTTGTTAAGTACATTGGATTAATGCATGCATGAGTTATGGAGTGTCTGTTCGTAAGAGAAACTCTCGCTGATGAACTGGATAAACAGCTTACAGTTGAAGAAAATCAGGGTTGTTCTTCACGACACGAAACAGTGCTACCACACGAGAAGTACAAGACAGAGTAGTCAGCTGAACATACCGAGATGCCATCGACCTGCCGGTCAGCGGTCATTCTCCTACCGAGGGGTAAAGCTTTAGAGTGGCATCAGTGATAATGTTAAATCTACCGACTCAGTTAACATGTTTAAGAAGCGACTTGTCAAACTACCCGTTTCCAATCAAGAACCGGATTCGAAATAGCAAGTTTTATTTCATTCATTATTTTTATTTTGTAATTATTCTTTTTATAAATTACTGCGAACGGAGCCCATACCTACGAAAATTAGGTAATCTATCTATCGGAGAAATTTTGTTAATCAAGTTATCGACCAACCATACGCCCATCCACCCGTCCGTCCGTACCACAGGGAGACCAAAATGTCAAATGTCTAATTTTCTAGCTAGTGTGGGAGCCCGTAACCTGTTTTTAACCTGATAATAGACATCCATATTATGCTCAATTGACAGGTGTCAAAACAGTATTTGCTTACCAGTGTCACATGACCGTATCGCCAGCTCAGATGCCAAATCATGGAGGTCGCGTGTTTTTTAGAGTTTTCCGCTGACCAGTCGTTAGCTATTAAATGATCGCGGGCTCAAGTTTATGTCTTAAGTCATATGGGTTTTCCGTAAAGTCAAGTATAGTTTTGTGGTCTTTTCAATAGTTTAAAGTCCATTGTCTGCAGTAAATTTAAAATGCATAAACGGGAACTTCACTTTTAGCTTTGGCTAAATATATATATTCGAAATGTGGTGGTGGTGAAGGAAAACAATAGAAATGTGGTGCTGGGAGTTGTGGAGGGAAAACAGTAGAAATGTGGTGGTGGAGAGAGAAGTCTAAGCAAAAAAATCTTTTGGTGGTAGAAAGAGCCAGTTTGCCTTCATCCTCCTTTCCATGTACAATTTTCGCGCCAAGAATTAGTGAACCGGGACCATGACTATAGGCTGTCTACAATGGACTATGACAGTGGCGGGAAATTTATCGTTTATGGTTACTTTACGGCTGAGTGATTTTTATTCACAAGCTTCTTCCTTCGACAACATGAATCAACCAATGAAAATTTTTCTTAGCTTCAAGTTCACCAATTAAAAATCAAGACTGAGTCATTGCCCTAAAAATTACTAGAAAACCTTTCAAACCGGTTAAAGAGCATAAGAACATGACAAACAGGTTCAACCGGTCAAGGTTAGGTGAGACTATTGTTTCTGTTGTGTTAGAATTAAACAAAAGGGAAGATAATGAGATTCCACCGCATTTATAATTTTATTCAAATAAAGATTCCTCTCTAAAAAGTTCAAGTCGATCCTTACTATACAACTAAACCAGAAAACATCCCATCTACAACAAACGAATATAACAAATAAGCTCGAAAAATAGTTGATACAAGTATGCAAAGACAAACGAATGTTACATATCAATGGTGAAAATTAAATTTTTGTCGTGATAAAATGTTTAAAATTTGTATTTTTGCTGTTAATTCGAACTTCTTTTAACCTTAGGTTCATGTGCTCATCGCCCAGGAAGTGTTGCTGGTGGAGGAGCCATTGAAATTGTAGCAGATAAAGGATGCATAACCATAAGTACAAACGATTAGCAAATTCTTTGTAAACTATTTAATATGTAACTTGTTAACAACGTAGAACCCTCAAAGGCTGAAACGTGCTCAGGAAAAATATAAGTCTGATGACAACTACTACAGGAGCAGAGATAGTGCTCGGTTTCCCACAATAACCATCATTCCGGAAGACCTTGTAATTGAGTGTTTTACTCATTCTCGTGATTTCTATGCAACACTGCTAATCTTTTACTCAGAAGCTGTGTTTTAATCATCCTACCACCCTGTATCTATCTCAGTCTTAAAACTGTTCCTTGAAGAAAATTCTTAAATGACACAATCGGCAGAAATTCAACATTTCATTAACAGCCTGTTCACGCCACGCCTTCAGGAAATACAATTATTTCCTACTATCATTTGTTTTATTATTTATTGATAAGGAATATGTTTCTTCGATGACACATTTTTTTTTTCTATACTTTTTAGATGCAATCATCAGAGCTTCAGCTCAGCGTGAAACAGTGGAATCATGTTCTGGTGGATCTGGTGGACTTATTCGTCTTAACGCTTCTCATGTAATCCATGACTTTAATATGTAGTTTACAGTGACTCATTATTTTTGTGGCTTGTTATTTTTTGACAGCAGGATTCCTAAAGGCAAAGTTTGAATCTGTATCTATAACAGTCTGCAAAATACGCAGTAATTTTTTTTAAATAGCAGCGAAGTTTGACTAGGTGTAACTACGGGACTGCCTCTTTCGCAGTAACCTCACTGAACACTTATGTAATCCACAACCTCAACTTTTCAATAGAGGAGTGGTTCTTCTCTGTATTAAAAAAGTGTGCATACGTCGATGATGATGATTTTAAACTATAGGAGAAGTTCGACACTTAATACATGGCAAAGCAAAGCTGTCTCAAGTAACAAACAAAAGATGTTAAAATCAATTGAGGAGGCCTTTTTATTACACGCGCAAACGATCCCTTGATTCCTCGCTACTTCTTCAAGCCTCTTCTTCCATTTTCAGACGGAGTAAGGTTGTTCGGAGGCTGAGATATCAACATTTTCATACGACTTGGTTTTGGTGAGAAGAATAGCGGTCGATACGCGAACACAGACTGATTTGATTGCATTTTTTTTTTTTGGAAAATCAACAAATAGATACACCGAGCACTTAACAAAGCAGAGTTTCTAAGGTTGGTGAAGTCATACTGCAAAACTGCATTAATAGAGTGTAGCCACCATGATTTCGTAAGCTCCACATGCTACATGAGGTTTATTTTTCAAATCCGCAAACTACTACTAATTTTTAATTTTATCTCCACAAATTTTGCTACCCCCATTTCTGAATAAAACTCTCACAGATCGATGCCTATTACAGATTCTACTTTTAAAAAATGATAGGGTCTCTCTTATCACAAAGTTTAATCTTATCTCAGATAATGGGCTAGGAAGTAGTTATGTGTTACCTTGCTCTACTCTTACGAAGGAGAACAAGTGTTAAAATAGGAACAATTTATAACTCAGAAAGGAAATGATTCAAACTTCGCCTTTATGGCTAGATTATAAACAGTTAAATTGGATGTATGCAACATCATTCCCAGGGTAGAAACAAGGTCAGAGAGTATGTCTGCGTTTTTGGGGAAAATCGCCAAATCCGGATATCCGGATCCTAAAACGGATGTTGCTTTTTTGAGATGTGACAAGACACTAAGGGTCGATCCAACATTTTGGTTATGAACTTTTCACTTGTTGCCTGATTTTTTACCCAATTTAACCATGATTTTCATTGCTTTATTTTCTTTAGGTTGAACTAAAGGAGCAAGGAAAACTCATTGTTGATGGAGGAAATGGAAAAAGAGGATCAGGGGCCGCTTTTAGTTTGGGCGGTGGAGCAGGTGGAATTATACAGATAATATCACCTGCTGGTCGCCTGCCACCTAAAGTTTTATCTCTAAAACGAGGCACAAAATTTGGGACGTGCGGCGGACAGGCAGAACATGGATATTACTATTTTGTAGGAGGTAATTTCAGTTAGCGGACTATCCAGAAATGTATACTCCCTGTTTGCCCCTTACTAGTTCAGGTGAGTGTCCATGTAGTTGGGCCATACATGAAGACATTTGCTTCAACTCCAAAATCGAGGGGGGGGGGGGGGGGGGAAAAGAAGGGGGGGGGGTCACAATGTCATTAACGTCCAACAAAGCAACCGGAGCAGATAACGTCAGAACAAGAGACTTTAAACAAAGCATCGAAATAAGCATATCCGAAGTAACAATCCTAGGGGGTGTGGGAGGTTGGTTGGGGCAAGAATTTGAACGTTTGTGGCGTCCAGCGGGGGGGGGGGGGGGGGGGGGGGGGGAGGAGGAAAAGGGATCTGCGCTAGCTGTCATAGTTTCACCACCAATGAAAATCGAAAGCGAATTCAGTACAACCAAATATTTCACCGCAAGTATGACTTGTTATTACCCAGGTTTAGAATCCTACCGCCAAAACTCGTTGGCAAAGCAATATGTTTTCCTTGATAAGAAGACATATTGTCATTGAACGGGTACGAAAGAAGTTGTCGAATACGTTGCCGGGTGTAGTTTCTAAAAGTATGCGCGATTATTTCTTGCCGATATTTGATCATTGTTATTTTGTGGTTTGCAATTCTGGTCAGGGAACCCTCTAGATTATATCCATCCCGCTGCGGATTGGGGTGGGAGCTTTTCATGTCTGATGAAGTATAAATAATAAAAGAGATCTAACTGGTTTATCTGTTTAATGTCAGACAACTCCAGCGGGGCCAATGTGGGGATATATCCTTTTATAAATCCATATAACTGGAGTTCAAGTTCGTCTTTGTCAAGTCCATTACGTTGCTTCAGCGTCACACCCACACAGCAAAGTAAGTATCATTCAGTCCATCCAATGTGAATCAAAAAAATTAGATTAATCTATAAGATGGTGATGTCCTGTCCGCTGAACAATTGGTAACAACCTTTAAATTAAGGTGTTAAGTAAAATATTCGCCTTATTTTCGTTTTCTCTGAAGAGTCGATATTTATAAACCTTGCTTCAAAAGTAAATCGTACGAGTTAGATACAAGTAGTGGTAGAGGGTCATTTCACGCCGTTTAGGTGTATAGGTATTGCTGGTTTTCACATGACGTCACTAAAATTCAAATTAAAAAACTATCGATCCTACCGAGATTTTACTTTCACGACGCGTTAAAACTAATTTTCATACAAATTTTCGCTTCAAAAGGGTTCTTGGTTTTGTGATAGACTACGCTTGAATTTCTAAACTTTTGCGTGACGCGGCATTTACATGACGGCCAAGAGAGTTGTCATGTAGGTTAAAAAAATGACTTATTTCAAGACATTTTGCTATCTAAACAGTTTATGTATTAGAAAAAGTATTACTTTAATGTTTATGAGTTTCTCGAAGAATAAATTCACGCTTTTGTAGCAAAACGCGGTAACAGATGTTTCTGTTGGTTTCCGTCCGCCACGTTGGAGCTCATCCAGGTGAGCACCAGCAGGGCGTCTCCATACAAATCTCTATAAGTTTGGGCAAAACATTTCTTCGGATATCTCGTATACCAAATCTTCCTCTGACCTGAATCTTGGCAAGGGTCTTTGTATATGTACCTCCCTTCATTTCCCAGATTCTGGACTTTATCTATTGAACGATTTTGATTTTGATTTTGATCTATTTTGAATGGCGTGACACTGAAAACCAGCAATAGGTTTGGGTATAGGTAAATCATCAATATTCATACAGTGTGTTGCCCGGTATCCGGACACTTCAGTTTAACATTGCAATAACTTTCCTTTGTTAGTCGCAAGAGCTCTGAAATTTGGCCTAGAGAAAATCTATTTAGTCCTTAATATGACGAAAGACAGTTTTTGCCTTTGTTTCCATCGCGAAATTAATATTTTTGCAGAGCTCATGTTGCCCAGTATCCGGACACAAATATAAAAAACGTAATTGTACATACATTTCGACAGGCAAGCGACGTAAAAGCTTCTCTTACACTTGCAAAGTAGTCTGGCAATCGATTCCAAAAATATAACCTAGCATCCTGAAAAAAAACATAACAAATGACTAGGGTATGGTGGGGAACGCGAGCGGCTGTTAAATGGTATAATTCTTACTTCCTTGTCCAGGAACTTTTTCACTGATTTAGGGAAGTCATCCGTGGACATGCCGTAGCCGCGGTTTGCAAGCTAAATTAGCTAATCAGGTACAAACGCCTTTTTTTCTTCATTTTCTCGTTAAAAAAAAAGCTTGGGGAAGGGACCTCAATGCGACGGTCAAAGGTCACTCGCCTATTTAGCCTGACCTGCACTGTTGATTTCTTCATGCTCAGTCCCCACAATAAGTCTGCTTTTCTAGCACTGATTCCTCCTTCTTTCACGTCTGTCAATCCGTTTGTGGCATTTTTCAGACCGTTGCAGCCCCATTCTAGCAGTCAGAACTGGGCAAAGTATGAGAATTCCGGGTTCAACTCCGACGCTTCCGGTTATATATAGAAAATGCAGTCACGCGAAACAAGCCGTGCACACGAAATCAAGTCGCCTCTGAATGAGTGAAGAAAATTTCCATACGGAGTTGAGTAGAATTACATTTTACGACTACATCATATATCCTAAGCTTTAATTATAATTATAGATATGAAATAAATCTTATCCGGATAATGTACACGGCTAATTCATCGATTCTGTACAGCCAAGAAAAAACTGTCCGGGGACTGGGCACCTGACATAAATACTTAGTGAATGTTTCCTGCCTCCGTAATTCAAAACAAATCGAATTTCAAGAAGAATTAATAAACTTTCTGAGAACCTGACTTCTTTAAGAATCTTTCCTTTAAATATAAAACAGTTTCTTTGAAAATATCACATATTACCTAAACCCTTTTCTGAGCAGCACTAATTTTACTGCGCAGTAAACAGCCTAAATATTAGCCATGAAAAGTTTACTCTAGTGAACAGAACGGCGTCTTCTGCGACTGTTTCGCAAGCTTTAAACTCGCCAAAACATTCATCTTAGAGCTGAAATGTTCAGCTTTCATTAGAAACACTTCGTTTACCGAGAACTGAAAAGGGCCTTTTAAGCGTCCGGATATTGGTACCGTCCGGATACTGGGCAACATAATGTATACCTTCATGCATACTAATTAGGTGTAGGTTTACTCTTATTCGTTCAATAGCAACAATAGGCTTGCGCAGACTTGCCCGTTAAGTAACTTTAGCCCGGTTTGTCGGACCGTCTATAACAAAAAAATGAAATAAGAGGAGCGATCACCTAGCAACGCGAGAAACGGCTGCTTATGTCTTCTTATTTAGCGTTAAAAATCGGACATACTAACAAAACACAATGTTCACAGGGATTTTCAGAGTGAAAACGTGTGAAAGGTGGTGCACTTTTCAAGGCTACTTCTTTCTGTTTCCTGACTGTCGTCTTATTTCGTTGCCGTTTTCGCTCTCTATGGGTGCCTTCAGCCTCACTGCCATTCTCAGAGGCCACTTCCTCTTCTTCTTCCTCCTCCACCTGCTCCTCCTGATTTTCAATATCCGATGAACTCTCCTCATTATGAATCTCGTTATCGGAAGTATCTTCTGCATTTCGGTAGCCTTTTTCCTTTTCTATTAAATCACTTAGCAACTTTTTGTTCTTGATTAAACCTTTATCGAATCCTAACTCTGCAAGTTCATCTAGAAATGTACGAGGCTTGGCAATGTCATTGTTATGTGGGAGTAGTAACACATACTCAACTAGGTCGGCGATGTTTGTGACGGGAATTATACGTTTATTTCAAAGTCATTGTCCGTGGGGAGTCCAGAAAAGAATATCTTGGGAAGGGACCATACTATGCAGCAATTCAGAAGCACGCTTTTCCGACACCGCTTGGGAAAGATAACTTAAAACATCTTTTATTCTTGATTTACCTATACCTATGCACCAAAACGGCGTAAAATGACCCTCTATCACTACTGTTACATCCTGTTTTTGACGTTGTAAGATTTAATTGGCAGTTTAAACACATTGCCCCTTTCAATTAGGCTTCTAGCTTTATCCTCATTCGCTGATACAGGTAATACGGTGTAAACATTACTTCTATAATTGGAAGCAGTTACAATTAAAGAAAACAACGCCACCGTACGTGAGTGTCCCGGAGGTGAAAGATAATATGATTAATTCAAAAACAAAAGGGGCTCATGAATAAAAGATTGAGAAGAGAATTAAGTTCAATTTACTGGTAAGACGCACGTGGAGTAACTTGACTGATTCTTTTTACCTCAACCATATTGCAGCATCGTCCACATTTCTTGCAATCTCATCTACAACATCGACCTACACTGGTTCAACTGTAAGTTGTACTTCATCTCAAGCAGTATCCACAACACCAGGTATGCACTCAACTGTTTATTTACATATCCATCGCATCACTATGTGACCTCAATATACACATATACATATAATTGTCCCACATGTGAAAGATAGAGTCAATAAATTAAACGCTGTGAAATAGTATGATTAATTTAAAAAAGAAAAAGGGGCTCATGAGCAAAAGATTGAGAATTAAGCTCAATTTACTGGTAATACGCGCATGGAGTAACTTGACTGATCTTTTTACCTCAATCACATTTTTTTACAATTTGCCAATACCGTTCATTGATCTTGTTTTCTTTTAGAAGTCTACATTGTTGTTGTTGTTGTTACTACGATGGCTGTCCATTCCGGAATTCACATACGTCTACGGATTTTGGGATTTCTGCTGATGTCAGCATTTATGGGACCGGTTTGGGGCGGTTCAGACTGGTTATTTTCGCTAGTTAATTGGGCTAGCTGAAATACACTTAAAAACAAGTAGTTATGGAAATGGGTAGTCTGGTTCACTCTGTTTTTATTTCTGGCTCAAATCAAAAACACTCAAAAATCCCTGAATATGCAAAAGACTTCAAAAAAGAATGGCTTTACATAAGAGGGATTAATAAGAAGTGTGGTGATTTTATGAAAAAGCTTGGAGAGAATACTGATTCTTTTGAAAAAGTTTTTTCGTCTTCAAGAGCAAGAGCACTTATTAGAGACTTTAAAAATGTTTTGGAGGCTCAAAAAATGGGTAAACTTCAAAATATTAGTGAATTAAAGTTTAAATTAAGTGTTGTTGAGCAAATAATTGAGTTAAGAATTTACATATATTTAAATATGGGAAATGTTTTTTATTCTGACTATCTTTTGGATGAAGATTTTCAAGATTTTTTTGAGAATTTAATAATCTTTACTAAGAATGTCAACATTAAAAATGAAGAAGATTTTGAAGATGATTTTTATAATATAGATGATAATATTTGGGATAATGTAGAAATTGGAAGTATTAGTGAAAGTGAAAGTGAAAGCGAAAGTGATTAAAAAAAGGCTTAAAGTCTTATAATCTAATTATAAGATTATAAGACGTCATGTCTAACCAAGAAAACGGTTCGTGGGGTAGTACACCCTTTGTTACAGATAAACAATTTCAGAATTTGTCTTTAGATGAAATAAAAAATATAATAGAAGCAGAAAAAGAAGGGCTTAAAAAAGATTATAAGGAATTAGGATCAAGAAAAAGATTAATTAAACAATATAAAAAATTGGTAGAAGCAAGAGAAAAAGTAAGGAAAGGTATTAATATAAAAAAAGAAATTAAAAAGAAAGCCCCCGCCAAAATGGCGGGTCCTTCTGTAAAGAAAAAGATAAAAACATTTGATGAGTATTTTGAGGAATGTATAAAAAATAGAGAGATTCCCAAAGATACTCCTCCTTATTTACGTAAAGCTCTTGAGCGTGCTATTTTTGAACATTATGAATTAGGACTTGAAAAAGAAAAATCAGCTCTTGAAGACTTTGCTGTTAAATATATTATTCGAGGAATTTTTGGTTTGACTCCAATGGAGTTTTTTGAGAGAATAAATAAAACTTTAAAAGATTTTTTTAAATATCATCGAAATATAAAATTTAAGATGGTATTGGTTTGTATCATGGAAAAACAAAATATTTCACAAAGTGTTGGTCTTGTAGGAATTGAAAACGATAAAGCTTACTTTAATACAAAAACACATATTAATATTAAATCCACAGATGTTGACGAATTAATTCAAATATGTAAAGATGAAATTGAAGGAAATATTGAAGCTTATCAAGCAGCTGGAAGTGCATGGCATTTTAAAGAAGTTGATAAACTTGAAATTCATACTGTTGAATATAATCCAGCGAATGGGTCGTCTTACATTCCTCTTCCTGATTGGATAACAAATAAAAAAGCAATAGTTAATATTCAAAACAAAGATGAAAAATGTTTTCTTTGGTGTATACTAAGATATCTTTATCCAAGAGAAGATAATGATTCACGATTAAAAGATTTGAAAAAGTATGAAAATTCTCTTAACACTAATGGAATTATTTTTCCTATGAAATTAAAAGATATTTCCAAATTTGAAAAACTTAATCCAGAAATTCCAGGAATTAATGTTTTTTCAGTTGATGAAAAAAGAATTTTTTACCCTTTGAAAATGGCAGAGAAAGATTGTATAAATACTATTGACTTATTTTTATATGAGGAAGATGGTGTTTCACATTACACATTAATCAAAAATTTTAATCGTTTGATTAAGTCTCAAAAAACCAAAAGTAAGGAAAAAATATTTATTTGTAAAAAGTGCTTTACTCATTACACTAAAGAAGAATTATTACAAAAACATATTTTATATTGTTCAAATAATGAAACAGTGGTTGTCAAAATGCCTGAACCAAAAACAATGTTATATTTCAAAAATTACTACAAACAACTTCCTATTCCTTTTGTAGTTTATGCAGATTTTGAATGCTTTACTAAACCATTAAATAATTGCAGCCCTAACCCAGAGTATTCTTATACTTACAACTACCAAAAGCATGAACCTTCAGGATTTTGTTTGTATATTAAGGGAATAGTACCAAATATAACAATTAAACCAATTATTTATACAAAAAACAATAATGATGATAATGTAGCTGAGATATTTGTAAATAAACTCGAAGAAGTAACTAAAAGTATTTATAACGATTTTTATCTTAAACCAAAACCTCTTCATTTAACAAAAGAAGAAAAAATATCATTTAATAAAGAGAAATTTTGCCATATTTGTAAGATGGAATTAAAAACTGACAAGGTTAGAGATCATTGTCATTTTACAGGACAATACCGTGGAGCTGCACATAACAGTTGCAATCTCCAGTGTAGAAAACCAATGATTCTTCCAGTTATATTTCATAATCTTCAAGGTTATGACGCACATTTGTTTATAAAGCAACTTGCTTGTTTACCAGGTGATTTAAACTGTATTCCATCAACAGAGGAAAAATATATTTCGTTTTCGAAAAAGATTAAAGTTGCTGAGTATAAATCTAAAATTACTGGAGAAATGGTTTCATTGAATTTTGAAGTACGATTTATAGATTCACTAAAGTTTCTTCAATCATCACTTGCTAATCTTGTTGGAAATTTACAACCAGAAGATTTTATTAATACAAAAAAAATATTTAAGAAGAATGTAGATTTACTAACTCGTAAAGGTGTTTATCCTTATGATTATGTTTCATCTCTAGAAAAACTATCTGAAAAAAAGCTACCTCCAAAAGAAGAATTTTACTCCTACTTAAATGATGAAGGTATATCAGATGATGATTATCAACATGCTATTAATGTTTGGAATACTTTTAATTGCGAAACAATCAGAGATTATCACAATCTTTACTTAAAGTCTGATGTTTTACTTTTGGCAGATGTATTTGAGAATTTTAGAAAAACTTGTCTCTACCATTACAATCTGGATCCAGCACATTATTATACATCTCCCGGTCTAGCATGGGATGCTTGTCTAAAAGAAACAGGTCAAGAATTAGAACTATTGTATGATTATGATATGTTAATGATGTTTGAGCAAGGTATTCGTGGTGGTATTACTCATATATCAAAAAGATATTCAGAAGCAAATAACAAATATATGAAAGATTACAATCCTGATAAAGAGTCTACTTTTATTCAATATTTAGATGCTAATAATCTTTACGGTTGGGCAATGTTACAATCACTTCCAACACATGGATTTAAATGGATGAGTGATTTAACAAAAGAAAATGTAATTGATATTTTGGAGAAAACAAATCATAGTATGATAAATCCAAGGAAAGGTAAAGGATATATATTTGAAGTAGATCTGGAGTATCCTGAAAAACTATGGACATCACATAATGACTATCCTCTAGCACCTGAGAAAATGATTGTTAATGGTGTTGAAAAGTTAATTAGTCATTTTAAACCCCGAAAGAATTATGTTGTGCATTATCGTAGTCTTAGACAATGTCTTGAGTTGGGTATGAGAATTACTGCTGTTCATAGAGGAATTTCATTTTATCAGTCTCCTTGGATGGAACCTTATATAAGAAAGAATACCGAACTTAGAAAGACAGCAGCCAACAATTTTGAGAAAGACTTTTTCAAACTAATGAATAATAGTGTTTTTGGAAAAACAATAGAAAACATAAGAAAAAGACAAAATATACATCTTATTGATAATCGTAAAAAAGCTGCAAAATTAACAAGTCGTCCAAACTTTGAAAGAGCAACAATATTTGATAAAAATCTTATTGCAGTACATATGAAAAAGACTGAAATTTATTTTAATAAACCAGTATATGTTGGTCAAGCAATTCTAGATTTATCAAAAACACTAATGTTTAATTTTCATTACACATACATTAAAGAGAAATATAAAAATAAAGCAGAATTATTGTTTACAGATACGGAGTCTAATGTATGAGATTAAAACAAAAGATTTTTATATTGATATATTTTCTGATGTAAGAGATAAGTTTGACACGTCTGATTATCCTCCTAATCATCCGTCTGGAATACTAACAGGAGCTAATAAAAAAGTTATTGGAATGTTTAAAGATGAAGTAGCAGGAAAACAGATAACTCATTTTGTTGGGCTGCGTCCCAAAATTTATAGTTTTAAAATTGAAGAGGATAGGGAAGTCAAAAAGTGTAAAGGAGTAAAGAAAAATGTTGTGAAAAAGACAATGGATTTTGATGATTATGTTAAATGTCTATTTTCAGGTGAGAAAGAAATGAGAAGTATGAAAATAATAAGAAGTGAAAAACATGATATATATTCTAAAGAAGTTAATAAAATAGCTCTGAGTAATGAAGATGATAAGCGCATTGTTTTAGAGGATAAAGTGCATACTTTAGCTTTTAGATAAAAAATAATTTAAAAGTAGTAAAGTATTAAATAATAAATGGCTTATACAGAGGAGGAAATAAAAAAATATTTAGATATACTTCATAATTATAAAAAACCTATTCAACAAGTTAGTAAAAAAGCACAATGTTTAAATTGCCCAAATAATGAATTTTTTACAATAGATTCTGGCCTCAAAATTTGTGAAAAATGTGGTGCAGAAATGGTCATGTATTAGGATTATTTGATGTAAAAGATTTGGATAGACTACATTATAAAAAAAAGAGTATTTACCATAGGAAATACCACTATGAGAAAAAGGTAAATGAAATTTCTAAAAGAATAAACCTAACTGATGAAGAAAAATGTGAACTTTATGATAATCTAACAAAAATAGACGATCGTAACATGGAAATACTAAACAAGCAATACTTTAGAAAGAGAATGATAAATATTAATTATTTAACTAAAAAATTTTTAGAGGAGATGGGTTGTGAAAAGTATAAACTTATTGAACTTAAGATTAGTTCTCTAACTTTAGAGATTTATGAAAAATGGTGGAATTGTTATAAAGGGTTAAATAAATAGTTTTGATAATTTTATATTTTTAAAAAATATAAAATTTAATATAATGATTTAGATAAAAAAATGAATACGCTAGTCAATGTTGAAGGCTTTGCAAAAAACAATAAAGTAATTTATTATTACGAATTTCCTAATGGGTTAATATTTGAAGGTCGCATTAGGTATGGAACATTAGAGTCAAGAGATGCTGACCACCGAAGGTGTAGTCTTAGTCCTGTTTACGTCCATTTAAAAAGATTTCCAGATACAAAACCAAAATTATTGACTAATGATACTCATTACAAAACAAAAAATATTATTTATTTATATAATAAAATAAAGAATGCGAATACAAATTAATCCTAAATCGTTGTTAAATCTAGAACATATCTGTGAAGTTTTATACAAACTTCATCCATCTGTTTTAAATTACTTGGTTGAAATGGAAAGATCTTTAGGTAACATACTTGGATTTACTAACCTTAACAATCCATCACTAAAAGAAAGAGAATTTTTAGCTAATATTGTTGAGGAAGAAAATTACTCAAAAGAACCTGAGGAACCAAAGGATTTATTAAAAATAATAGAGGAGTTGAAAAAAGACCAAGAGAGTACTCGTTTTCATAAGCTAAGAAAATATATTCAACTAGATACTGATGAATACATTCCTATGAAAATTTATGTTGAAGTTGAAGATCCTGTAATAGGAAGAAAACTAAAAGAATTGGTTGTGACACTTGAAAAAACTCGTGCTCCAGAACAATTTTATTTGAATAAAAAAGAAATAGATGAAGATGCATATTTTGCTGAGGGGTATAACCTTACAATGAATGAGGATCAAAAAAGAGAATTGGAAGAATTTATTGATGGAGAAGATGTTAAATCACTTGAAAAACTTTTAAGAGAGAAAAAATTATATCCATAATTTTTATATTTCAAAAAATATAAAAAGTTCAACCCCGTGAATCGCGGGGTCAGGTCTAAGGTAGATGGATTAAAGGAGGCCCCAATTCAGGGCCCCCTTGGAGGAGAACAAAATTGTATAATTTGTTTAGATAGAAAATTAATTATGGCTTAAAGAAAAGAGTAAAGTAATAAAAATGATGATAGAAAAAGTTTTTATAAATAGACATCTTGGAATTAAGTTTAAATCTTATATCGATGAAGAGTGCCAGGTTTGGTTTCGAGGCAAAGAAGTAGCTACTATCTTGGGCTACAAAAATACAGAAAAAGCTATAAAAAGTCACGTAAGTGAAAATCACAAAAGAAAAATTCTTTTTAGCAACCAGCACGAAACGCACGGTTGCTCTATGACTTATTTTATTGATGAACCTGGATTTTACGAATTAGTTTTTAAATCTAGGTTACCTGCTGCAAAATTCTTTCGTGAGTGGGTATTTACAAAGGTATTACCTTCTATTAGAAAATATGGTTATTTTAAAATGTTTGATAATTTACAATCTAGAAAAATTATAATAAATGGAAAAAAATACTACAAACATCCAGTTTTTGATAATTATGCAGCTTCTAAAAAAGGTAATATAATAAATATAGAAAGAAAAAAAAATTTAAGTAAAAAGAAAAATAATGGTAATGGTTATTTAATTTTTTGTTTGTGTAATGAAAAATTAGAAGAAAAAAAGAATTATTATCAACATCGTTTTGTTTATGAGGTATTTAAGGGTATGATACCAAGCATAATGGAGATTGACCACCGAAATGGGATAAGAAATGATAATCGGATTAAAAATTTACAATTATTAACACCATTTCAAAATAAAAATAAATCAAATAATAAACCATTAATTTCTACCTGTATTGAAACTGGAGAGAAAACAAGATTTATTTCTATTAAAAAAGCTGCAATTGAATTAGATATTTTTAGTTCACTTATTTCCAAAATTTGTAAGGGAGAATTTAAAAAAGCTACATCTAAGAAAAATGGGTATAAATATACCTTTAGTTACTTATGATTAAATATTAATTTTAATATTTAATCTATATTAAATTTATTTTTATACTTCTCTACAAAGTTATCAGCACTTGATGGACATTGATCAATTATTATTTCATCTAATATTTTAATACGATCTATAAATTCTTCCTTATCCCACTCATCTCCTCTGAGTGCTGATCGTAATTCAACAAGAACTTTTTCATAAGTGGTATATGCCATCTTTGTTGTTTCTATCTTCTTTTTAAAATCCTTCTTTTTTGCAACCCCACCCACAATTATTCCTGCACCGTTGATTACTCCAAGAATAATAGGATTGAGTGTCAACCCTCCTGTTATAGTGCCAACAGCAATAAGAGACAAACTAGAAATAGAAAAAAAATTATCTAAAAATTTATAAGATTTATAAGATTTTTTATAACACCAATGTTTCTTATGGTAATGTTTATAAAGGTCTGTTATAGTTTTTATTTGCTCTTCTGATAAAGATTTATCGATATGATTAAATTCAAAAATACTCTTTTTACTACTATTTTTTTTCATTTATTCTTTACATTACATAACTTCCAGTTAACTTTTCTTGAAGCATTACTTTATGATATTGCACAGAGTCGGTGTCGTAAAAGTTTGGAGAGTACATTAATTTATTTATCACTCCATCTTCAGTTGTAAAATCAAACTGTTGTAAAAAGGATTTTTGAACGGCTGGTATAGTTAATGTTGAGCTGTAGTTACTTATTGAAACTTTTGTGACATTTGAATTAAAATCTTCTGCCAGCCATACAACAATCCTTTGTCCATTAAAACTACTTAGCATGATAAAACTTTGAGTTGTTTTGTTGACAGTTAAAGTTACTTTATTGTTTGATTTATTATAATCCAATTTTAATAAAATATTACTATTATCTGTATTTTTTTTAGTTAGGCTAAAACTTCTATTTCTCCAATGAAAAAAAGAAATACATAAACTATAATTTGTAAAATTATTAGGAAGAGTAAAACCAACAGTATAATTTTTAACATTTAAACCATTAATTTTTATATCATCCATGCTTCTATTAGGTATACCAATATCTCTTAGAGTATTACCAGTAATAGACGCTAAATAGTTAAAAACAACACCAGATACACCTTTAGTTAATTTGTAATTATTTGCATCAGTAAAGTCATAGAACTCACTAAAGTATAATCTGTAAAGAGTGTTTTTAGTGTGAGGAGTCAGTTCTTTTACTAATGCAACTGTTGCTACACTATCATCATCACTCCGGTTAAGTTTAACGTTTTTGATTTCTTTTTGATTTGCATCAATATTAACATTATACGCCACTTCTGTTGGTTTGATGTCAAATGCGGTGTGATAATCGTAAACTTTATCTGGATCGATATTACTAAATGTACCCTTAATACCATAAGCTATCATATAAACCCCTGAAAACTGTTTCGGATACGTAGCCAGGTTATATCCACCACGAAGAATATCAACCAAAATGTGAAGAAAGAACCTTTTACCAGATGACAACTTTCGGAAATTAACTATTATTCTGTGGTAGTACATAGTTTGTGTTTTTCCTGTTGAATCAGTATACTTATGGGATAGTTTTTTTACACCTACATTTCCAATTGACAATCCTGTTGAAGTTCCTTTGTCAACACTTATTTGACTATTATTCCAAAGATTATAATCACTGTTTAGTATTTCCAAACATAGTGTGTAATCAGTATTTGCATCTAGTCTGTAAAAATTAATTCCCATCTTATATCTATATCTACCTCCCCAATTTTTATATATAGTCATGAAAAGTACTTTGTAGTTATAGTCATGAAAATTACCTTTAGAAGGAGTTAAGTTTCCTATACTTCTTATACTAAATCTATATCCAATATCTATTTCATCAGTCCATTGAGACGCACTTGACATGAGGTAACTTAACTCATCTTTATAATGACTTGGTTGAACTGCAGTATGAAAAACTAAATTGTCAACATAACCTTTGGTTACTGAGTCTGTGTCTTGGGTTGGTACACCCAGATTCTCTATTTTATTACCACCAAGGTCGACATCATCTTTTATAACCCCACTTATTACAATTTTAGGTGTGTTGATCTCTATTCTCTTAAGTGGTTTGGTTATTGCTTTTGGTAGATCAGTGAGTAGTCGACAAGTGATAGCTGTGTGATTTGAATTGTTATGAGTTCGCAGTCTTACTCCTGACATATCATAACTCCAAGACTTATGAATAATTAATGACCAAGTGCCAGTTCTATTTCCACTTACCCAAAAATTAGAATTGGAATGGGAACTGTCTCTGGGAATAAACCACAGAAAGTCAACGTTTATATTTCGCGAACCAAATTGAAATTCTATTTTGTTAATGTATGTGTTAGCAGTTGGTGCCCACCCTACAAGAGGTTGACCAGGTGCTGATGTTGTAAAAACAAAATCATCAAATGATAGACCAAGAGAGTACTCGTTTTCATAAGCTAAGAAAATATATTCAACTAGATACTGATGAATACATTCCTATGAAAATTTATGTTGAAGTTGAAGATCCTGTAATAGGAAGAAAACTAAAAGAATTGGTTGTGACACTTGAAAAAACTCGTGCTCCAGAACAATTTTATTTGAATAAAAAAGAAATAGATGAAGATGCATATTTTGCTGAGGGGTATAACCTTACAATGAATGAGGATCAAAAAAGAGAATTGGAAGAATTTATTGATGGAGAAGATGTTAAATCACTTGAAAAACTTTTAAGAGAGAAAAAATTATATCCATAATTTTTATATTTCAAAAAATATAAAAAGTTCAACCCCGTGAATCGCGGGGTCAGGTCTAAGGTAGATGGATTAAAGGAGGCCCCAATTCAGGGCCCCCTTGGAGGAGAACAAAATTGTATAATTTGTTTAGATAGAAAATTAATTATGGCTTAAAGAAAAGAGTAAAGTAATAAAAATGATGATAGAAAAAGTTTTTATAAATAGACATCTTGGAATTAAGTTTAAATCTTATATCGATGAAGAGTGCCAGGTTTGGTTTCGAGGCAAAGAAGTAGCTACTATCTTGGGCTACAAAAATACAGAAAAAGCTATAAAAAGTCACGTAAGTGAAAATCACAAAAGAAAAATTCTTTTTAGCAACCAGCACGAAACGCACGGTTGCTCTATGACTTATTTTATTGATGAACCTGGATTTTACGAATTAGTTTTTAAATCTAGGTTACCTGCTGCAAAATTCTTTCGTGAGTGGGTATTTACAAAGGTATTACCTTCTATTAGAAAATATGGTTATTTTAAAATGTTTGATAATTTACAATCTAGAAAAATTATAATAAATGGAAAAAAATACTACAAACATCCAGTTTTTGATAATTATGCAGCTTCTAAAAAAGGTAATATAATAAATATAGAAAGAAAAAAAAATTTAAGTAAAAAGAAAAATAATGGTAATGGTTATTTAATTTTTTGTTTGTGTAATGAAAAATTAGAAGAAAAAAAGAATTATTATCAACATCGTTTTGTTTATGAGGTATTTAAGGGTATGATACCAAGCATAATGGAGATTGACCACCGAAATGGGATAAGAAATGATAATCGGATTAAAAATTTACAATTATTAACACCATTTCAAAATAAAAATAAATCAAATAATAAACCATTAATTTCTACCTGTATTGAAACTGGAGAGAAAACAAGATTTATTTCTATTAAAAAAGCTGCAATTGAATTAGATATTTTTAGTTCACTTATTTCCAAAATTTGTAAGGGAGAATTTAAAAAAGCTACATCTAAGAAAAATGGGTATAAATATACCTTTAGTTACTTATGATTAAATATTAATTTTAATATTTAATCTATATTAAATTTATTTTTATACTTCTCTACAAAGTTATCAGCACTTGATGGACATTGATCAATTATTATTTCATCTAATATTTTAATACGATCTATAAATTCTTCCTTATCCCACTCATCTCCTCTGAGTGCTGATCGTAATTCAACAAGAACTTTTTCATAAGTGGTATATGCCATCTTTGTTGTTTCTATCTTCTTTTTAAAATCCTTCTTTTTTGCAACCCCACCCACAATTATTCCTGCACCGTTGATTACTCCAAGAATAATAGGATTGAGTGTCAACCCTCCTGTTATAGTGCCAACAGCAATAAGAGACAAACTAGAAATAGAAAAAAAATTATCTAAAAATTTATAAGATTTATAAGATTTTTTATAACACCAATGTTTCTTATGGTAATGTTTATAAAGGTCTGTTATAGTTTTTATTTGCTCTTCTGATAAAGATTTATCGATATGATTAAATTCAAAAATACTCTTTTTACTACTATTTTTTTTCATTTATTCTTTACATTACATAACTTCCAGTTAACTTTTCTTGAAGCATTACTTTATGATATTGCACAGAGTCGGTGTCGTAAAAGTTTGGAGAGTACATTAATTTATTTATCACTCCATCTTCAGTTGTAAAATCAAACTGTTGTAAAAAGGATTTTTGAACGGCTGGTATAGTTAATGTTGAGCTGTAGTTACTTATTGAAACTTTTGTGACATTTGAATTAAAATCTTCTGCCAGCCATA